TTCTTCGCAGTGAGGATGTTTGGGCGAACATAAAGAAAGCCATAGAAAACTCCGCTTCTGCCTCTACCCACTCCGCTCTCCTTGCTATCGCCTTACTTCTGGTCACTTCTTTCACCATTCTCTAGGCGTCGTCAGCAAGGGAAATCCCTTACGGTCTTTGCAACCTTAGCTGTGAGGGGCACGATAGGGGAAATGCAAATTCCCTAATGCCTGCTCATCAAGGAGTCGGAGTGAGGATATGTTTCTTTGAACCCTTAACGTGGAGTTAAAGGGAAACAAAAGGGAACAAGGTGTCTCTTAGCGATCTGAATTTTGGCCCGCAGCCACTGCAGCTGCTCTTGCTTTTGCGTGGCCCTCTCTTTAGACCGTTGAACCGTTTCAAATAGATCTCGCAGGAATTTTCCATAGCATATCTGGCTCCCCTAGAGCTTTCCATCTCTTCTGCATACGTGCTAGAGGAGATCGCTCAGTGCAGGGTGCATAGTGTGGGATCGTTACAGCCACTCGCGCATCACCTCATAACGACAGCAGCCGGCCAACCAATTTAGCCAGGTCTCAAGGCAATCGGTTGCGTTCTCAGAGTAAAGCACTGCCTTCGCTCGGGATTTTGCAAACGCGCCCACAATAGGTGTGCTTTAAAGTAAAACGATTGAGATATACTGGGTGTTTCGTTGTCTGCACTGTACAAATGACCCCGCCGAGAGACAGAACACCAGACATCTATGTGAAGTGGTAAATTCCCCGGTGTGAAAATGCTTAGGCAGAAAGGAGAATTAGCTGTCTCCAAACCGGCGCATCAAAGCCTCGGGCTCGTCACCGCTTTTACCCCTCTAGCAGAGAAGAAGGGGTCTTATAATCAAACACTGCTCTGGTAGCAACGTTCACCAATTTGTTTCACTTCAGATGACACGGAAGTCGTGCAATTTAGCTGAAACGAGCAAATTTCCGCCCCCGCACAGGAAGTGGACGCAACACCGTAAATTATCACAACAATTTGCATCATTTCAACTAAGAAACAAATTGCTTATTTCAGCTAAGGTGAAATCAATTTAGGAATGAAGCGTACGATGGTCACCTGCCACAGGACAAGTGAGCTTGTTTCGTGTTGCTCGCTGCCGAGGCGCTGTCCTCATCGCATGGACAGCCCGCTAGAAAGTTGGCAGACCAACGGCCTTGCAGTGCAGTTGCAAGCTACAACCGGCTAGATTTATTTCGGATCTTGCTTCTTTGTGATTTAAT